TTTACTGAACTGCCAACATCTAACTGGCGATCACTCAATATTTATCGCCAGGACCGACCAAGAAGAAAGAAACGGAAACTTGTTGAAATACTTTACGCTGAGAATTCTATATTGTACCAAAAATATAATATTGAATAAAGCTGATAATAATAATAATAATAATAATAATAATAATAATAATAATAATAATAATATAGAAAATTTCAACACATGCACTTGGACACTGTCACTCTTTTCCATAATCCGATTTTTTTGTTCGTAAATTTATTGCAAAGATGGTTTCACTAAATGAACTGTAGCCTGTCCCATAAATGATACCTCATCAAAATTTTTAGCTTCAGTAATCCTTGATTGTTGGGTTGCCTATTATGGCGTCCCACTTACCATCACTATTGATCGGAAGCCTCAGTTTCAATCAGTTTAGCTCCGAGAATTCACTAAACTGTTAGGAAAATGCCACATAAAATCAACAGCCTACCACCTAGCAGCTAAAGGCCTCGTAGAATGATTTCACCGATAATTAAAAAGCTCACATATGCCTCTGGCCAATACAACCAAGTAGAGCAATGCCCCACCCTTTATTCTCCTGGGAATACTTCCAAAGTTGAGAGAAGACATAGGATGCACATTAGCCAATTTAGTATGTGTAACGAATTTAGAGCTTCTTGGCTAAATAATTAATAGCAATGAAAACAGCAAATCCTAAAACTAAGTGAAGAACCTGACCTCACGGAACCACCAAAACCAAAAAACAAAGTCAAATGAGTAAACACGAACTTATCTACAACTCGCTACAGCGGAATCATCAATAGACCTAAACGTTATGTACACATTACCGTCTAAATTTTATACAAATTCTCTAACCAAACCTATTTACGTCTAGTTAATTTGTTTTTTGTTTATTCATAATAAATCTATGTTTATTCCCGTTGTCGTTACTAAACATCACATACTCACTTAGATAAATAAATTTTAATTCTCGGATAAATTTGATTTTTTCTGGTGTGTCTGTAATCAAACAGTTTATTACCATTTTTATTAGTGTTATTTAATTATGTTGTTTAGTTGCGCTGTTCCTCTTCTAATTGCTGGGTATCAACTGTTTTGTAATAATAAACTGTACACACATTATAACACCGTATATGAACATACCACGCACTCATGCCTTATATACATAACTTTTCATCATATATTTGAGTTTATGTATTTATTTTTGTGTGTTTATTCTTCTTATAAGTTTTGGAGTATTAATTGACAGGAGAAAGTTTTACAGTTTAATAGATCCGCTACGCAACTGCTTTTGGAATTATAAAATAATACCTTCATGTGTATTTATCGTATTCTGTCTGACATGAATGCTGAATCATCCGTGACCACTAGAGTACGTATTGAATAGTTGAGAGAGATATTGGTTTAGATATTTCATCTAATTCTACTATTTCCGTTCATCATACCATGTAAATAATTCTTAACACTATTGATCACGTTCACATTAAGTAAACATTTAAATATTTATGTAAAAGAAGTTGTTGTTACTTTTTTTATTCGTTGAGTAACATGAATATAGTGCAAACAATGTACACATTGTGGAAATACTTTTTCAAGTTGTTTAAAACTCATTTTATCAATTGAACTAACACTCATGGTTCTGGATCCATATAATGGTCTGTTATAGTGATTGATCAACGAAGTATGCCGAGTATTTCCAAGTTGGCTTTCAGATAAACCCTGAAAGACAGGAGACTAAAATTCCTATGAATCAGCTATCATATAATAATTTCGCTTAAAAAGATTACACTCTCGCCTTGAAGAAGTAATGAAAAATTAAACGTATTAAAATTCGCACAATATTTAGTTAGCCCAATGATAAAGAACTAAATATGAAGCAAAATGAATATATTTCTGAATAAATCTGTGTTTAGGCAATATAAATAATACAAAAAATATACATTAAAAATAGTGAAAATTTACTTTTACATCATTCGATATCTAATAAAAACTAGAAATATTCTTATATAGTTGAATATGCATCCGAATTATGAGTTATAGGTATGATGAAATAATTATTATCATTATTATTATCGTTACTATTATTGTTACGTTGCATGGCTTTATTAGCAGTTATGTTAGGTATGCCAGTTAATAGTTCATCTTGTTTATCTATATTCACGAAATCATTCGTGATTGATACTGGGATTAATAACTCGTTATTGGTCTGATTTAATCGCTGTTTAACATCCGGAATAAAATTGAAAATGAAGTCCGATTTTTGTAAGTTTGAATGGAATTCAGTAAATGGTAAAGATGATATACAGGAATTTGAAAGTGAATTATTGTGTTTATATTGATAATCAATTTGGTTATCAATTGCTATGGAACTTAAATTATAACTGTTTTGTATTATATACTCATCACGTTCATGATAAGATTGTGTAAAATAATCATTATCTGTTTTTAAAGATTTTATAGTATTGTTTGAATTAAATTCAATAGAATCACGACGTTCTCTGGCTCGACGATTTTGAAACCATATTTTAACCTTTACAAAAGAAATAACAACAACGGACAGCAAATTGGCTTAGCAAATTATGACAAAACAAAGTCACACCAATATTTTTATTTAATTAACTCATAAACGATGATATATTCAATATAGAGGTGATTAAATTTTGACTAGTAGTTGAAACCAGTACCCACGTTTTGTCCTAGCTAGGACTCGTCAGCTAAATGCACCTGGAACTCAGAGTTGATGTCCACTCCAAGACTCCAACCCCAGTATTGTTTGCTTCAAATGCCAATGCGTTATCGACTTAGCTACCGAGTAAAAACAGCCACTCATGAAATATGTATGACTATTAATTCGGTTTAAAATAGTTTGAATTATCCCGTTGTTTATACTTAGACAGAAATTTGATCAGTCTTGACTGACATATTCTCAATTTTTCCTACCTTATTCCGACCTACAATAATAAGAACCAGCCTAGAAATTTGTAAACCCTAGAAAATCTCCTTAATGTGAAAAATTCACCGACATATAAGTAATATGAAGGGATTTCAATGGAAATCTTTCCTCAAGAAAATTATAGAAATCAGTGAATTCGAAAGCCTGTGTTAATTAGACATCATTCAGTAGGCACGACGTTTGAAATCAAATGATTTTTTATACTAATTAGGTAAAGCGTTTGTGATCAGTTGGGTTCAGTCAGATTATGGATGATACAGATAACTCCAACAACACTGCGTTATCAATGTCCAACGTCAAAGATTGACTCAAACCATAATTATGAACCATGGAATTTTGAATCATGTATCATGTAATCACAAGATAAGAAAATTATATGTTACTTTGTGATTTCATACGAGTTCAGTATTCCTCTTTTTTCCTGTTTTTCTTACCTTTGAAAGAATTTTGTCGTTAAAACTACCATTAAATTTTCTCCTCGTATTTTATTTCGAAACGTTATGTTTTACAGGTTCGTAAGTTTAGTAATAACTTTGGTTATTAACATATAGTTTGTTTCACAAATTAATTAAAGTTATCTTACATTATTTAAACTGTGTACAGAATATTCTGAAGATAAAATAAATCAATTACCATTTAGGTAAAGTATGAGTTGCGATTTGTTTTATTGGAGAGTGATTGCAAAAAAATTACTTGATTAAGATGTGTAAAGTTCACTTACAAGTATACACGAATGTATTTTAATGAATCTTACTTTAATATACTGGCTATAATCAGTTTTAAGTTTTAATTAGATCAGTAAACTGTGTACTGAATACAGAATGGAAAAATAAATTAAGATATTTCGTTCCTCATGAGTTAACATTTCTCAGAGAATCTCACCATTAACAAACTGAACAATTCTGAATCTCAATAAAACTTTAACTAAAGTAAATAACTAGGCGAAATTTTATTTTCAGAAGGGATTTTGTGGAGATTTTGGAAATTTCAGTAGTTGAAATCATGAGTTAATTGAAGTTAGACCACCATGGAGAACTTGGAAGCACTGGACGGCCGTTTCGTTCTAGAATTGGACTCTTCAGCTTTGGATACCGGCTCAGTGGTCTAATGATCAAGCGCTCGCGCGCAGAACTGACAGGTCCTGGGTTCGGATCCCGCGGGGGAGATCGTGGTTGCGCACTGCTGAGGAGTTCTATATTAGAACGAAACGGCCGTCCAGTGCTTCCAGGTTTTCCATGGTGGTCTAGCTTCAATTGATTCATGATTTCAACTATTGAAAATTTTATTTGCAATAAACCATTTTAGAAATGTGTGATTGGTCAACATTTAACGTCATAAATATTACAGAAGAATGTATTTGTAAAATCACAGCGAAAGAATTTGAAGTAAATCCAACGTTTCGCCTGGCAATCTGGTCCAAACTTTTTCAAGGAAATAACATTTAAATAGCAAGAACAACAAGGTTTGTCGTATAAAATGAATTAATTCTATTTCACCGTTTCTCATCAGCTGAATACAACCTAAAATGACAATCACTAATATAATTATTAACAGATGATTTTGGCTATGTTTGGAACAACTATTATGCTAAACATTTATTAATAATTACATTTATATCAGAAGGGGTTTCGTGAATATTATAGTAATTTTAATAGTTGAGATCATGAGTCATTTGAAGCTAGATCACCATGGAAAACCTGGAAGCACCAGACGGCTCTTTCGTCCTATTGTGGGACTCCCCACGCTGAAACGGCTGTCCAGTATTTCCAGGTTTTCCATAGTGGTCTAGCTTCGATTGATTCATTATGTCAATTATTAATATTACATTTATATCAATAATTGTAATTTTAGGTTATATGCAATTGATAAAAAGCCGTAAAATAGAACGAATTCATTTTATCTGGCAAACCTTGTTGTTTTTGTTCTGTTTGAATTTGGCAAGGAATCTGGTTGCATGAAGTAACATTATTAGGTTATATAATGCCACACGTTTTAGAATAATGTAGTTTACAAATAATGATGAAGTTTCCAATCTCAACTACAAGTAAACAGTAGTAGTAGTAGTAGTAGTAGTAGTAGTAGTAGTAGTAGTAGTAGTAGTAGTAGTAGTAGTAGTAGTAATAGTAGTAGTAGTAGTAGTAGTAGTAGTAGTAGTAGTAGTAGTAGTAGTAGTAGTAGTAGTAGTAGTAGTAGTAGTAGTAGTAGTAGTAGTAGTAGTAGTAGTAGTAGTAGTAGTAGTAGTAGTAGTAGTAGTAGTAGTAGTAGTAGTAGTAGTAGTAGTAGTAGTAGTAATAGCAGCATTATTAGTATAACAATGATCAAGTTCTTTTATTCAGTCATATTATATCGTAATCTACCATAGTCTCTACATGAAAATGAACGATATAACTTTTTGTTTGTTTCAATACATTTTATAAGGGAATAAGATTTTTCCTGAGTGCATTATTTATTTGTTTTGAAATAGATGACATATAGATGATGAATTTGTTTCTATATGAAACTGTTTATAGACTATATTTTACTAAATTATAATATTCAATAAATTGTCAAATAAGTCATCTTACATACCATGTCGGTCGTTGATGTAATTTATCCAATCCCTTAAAGAATTTTATATTTTCATTGGAATACCTTTTTTTTATTTTCAAATTTATATTATTTGTATTCGAATATGGAAATAAAACATACTGATTAACATCTAGAGAACTAAATTTTTTTTAAAAATATTTCCAACATGAAAATAGTGACTAATTAGATTTCTTTAAAGCAGTAAATAAATTGAAAAGATCAGGCATTTATAAACCACTTAATTGAACATGACCTAGTTTTATTAATAAATAATTGATGAGTTTATGGAGATTCTCATAGGAAGTTTTGACCTGTGGAGTCATATAGGCTATTAGGAAGATATAATATGTTCATAGTGAATAATCATGATAGATAAGTCAATAGCTGAAATCAGGAAAAATAGTTAGTTAAATTGTCATTCAACTCTGCCTGGAGCACCTCCGTGGCTACTGCCGGCCCCAAGCTCGGATAGAAGAGGAGGGTTGGGCATGGGGTTAGCGACCCCATCCCGTAGAAATCTAACTCACTAAAAAAACGCTAACGAGAAAAAAATTATTCAAACTACCTAAACTCTGCCCTGGGAGTCAGAAGGTCTTCATTTAGAAGAGTTATGATGCCTCGTGGTGAAAGCCTAATTTCTTCGGAAGCCACGAGGCTGATGCCCCTTCTGACAACCACAGCAACCATTTATTTCGGTAGATGGAATGTAACAGGCGTAAGTAAAGTAAGTAAATTCTCATTCTAACGTAATAATTTAATATATACTGATTACATTTTTGAATTATTTATTCGTTTTCATTGAAATCCACCAATAAAAATATTGTCAACATGACAAGCCCTAACTTAACATACTAAAATATATCTTTATTCCATTCATCTGTACACAGTTTGAAGTTGATATTGTTACTATTAATAAGGTTATTTAGTTTCATGTGTGTACATTTCGAATGTATTAGATTTAATTTATCAAGTCACCTATTTTACCGAAAAATTACTCTCATTAGGATCATTCTCAACCTTGAACATGTTTATTATTGTATTAGTCTACTAGAAACCGCTTTCAAATGTGATTAGATAACTTAATTGACTAATGTATAATTCAACCTAGTTATTTCAATCAATTACTAATATAAGTTCATAATCTTTTTCCTTGAAATTAAATGTCTAGTTTGAAACGTGAATAATTACGTAACAACAAAATGTCATTATTTCTATTATCCTTTGTAATGACATTAAGAATAAGAATAATATTATTGTATTAGTAGTTGTCAAGTTCAAATCTAAAGTGCATCAAGAACATATTCGACTCCTATCATTTCTTGAAATAGTTATGTGCATTAACACTCATACACACAAATAAGCATTAACAAATAGATTTGATAAGATAAATAGTAAGAATCGAAGAAATCCTTAATCCTATTTCTATCCATCTCTATAGCTTTCAATTATAATTATATTGATAGAAATAGTAATGAGTAAATAAAAGTCATTTGGTTATCATTTCATCTTAATACATCATTCCATAATTTTATATTTATCTAAACAGATGGTTAATCTAACTAATTTGCTCACTAGCTAACTGACTAGCCAACTTGATATGTATTCATACGTTTAACATTATAGACTGATGTCATTTAAATAGAACTGTAGAATTGGATTAAATTAATTAGAAATATGTATGAATAACACTATTGCTTATTTATTTACTTAACGATGCAATTATCTTGGATTCATTATATCATTTACGATTAAATTAAATTATTTTAAAGAATAACAACCACCAAAAAGAAACAGACTAAGTTCAGTTTGATTTAAACTTGTGCTTAATTGATTACCAGTAACGATCTTATGTATATTCTTTTTATTTCACACACAGACAACTTTAATACATATATTTGTCCGCCGACAAATATATTGAGACTGTTACTCAACCAGAGTAAATTTGTACTAGATTGAAAGGATGCTATAGCCTCCGATAAATAAAAAAAGTTTCTAGGAGGCACCTACCATACTAAAAACCTGTTATATCTGTGGAATCACTTGACTAGCTAGTATATGAAACCTCAAATCTGACGATATGTAATGAAAACCAAAGATTGATGATAAATATTTATTTGACCATCAAAATAAATCAAAATAATATATGCATACACTTTTCTATATGACTTTATATAGTCACATCGACGGACAGATTTGTATAATCTGAATGAGGAGTATTTAGTATGAATTAATCAATAATTTACTAGGTGAATGCATATTTCCAATATTAGACTAATCGGTCTACATATTGACTTGGTTGTAAATATTACGGAAAGAACTTTTAAAATAATCATTACGTCACCCCTAGAAATCCATTATATTTGAAGCTGTATATGATGATGCTTTCATGGTGAGTTTTTGTACATAACAGACCATCTATTTGCTTAAGCGACCAATGGACATTTCTAAGTTAATGAGAAAATATTGAATTCTAGAAGCCTTCTTAACAATATTACACTCATTAGGCTACTAAGGAAACTGAGAAGCTTCATAAACCTGCTTAACCGGATCTATAAACTCCATTTCCTTTAAGCATATACACATAGGTTTCTGATAAAAATTAATCTTTCAAATATATGTACATTTGAATTTTAATTATATCATCAAATAAATTAATAAAGTTACTTACTCGCGTTTCTGTAAGATTTAAATTTTTCGCCAATTGTTTCACTTCCCATCCACTTAAATATTTTGAATTCTGGAACTTTCGTTCTAATCCAAATATTTGATCACGTGAAAATGGTATACGTGGACTACGATTTTTATAAATTTTTGAACTGTGTACAATATCATTATCATTTTGTATAATAGAATTATTACAATTGTTGTTTTTATCTTGTTCTGATAGTTCACTATAATTTAAACGTTCATTGAATGTATATTCAGGTAAAATTGTTTGAATTGATTCAAATGTTGTTATTCTGTTGCCTAAAATTGTAAAAGATTTAAATTATTAATAAAAAAATTGGCACATTTTCTTCATTTTACTAAGATTTTCTTACAAATATGTAGTATTTATAAGTATTTGAATTATAATATGAACTAGGAATCTCAGAAATAACGTAATCGGATCAAGAGCCACTAGATAACCACAAATGAATGTACTGTATTTAGAATTAGAAATCAAGCATTCAACAAGTACAATGGAATCATTAGTTCATTCAAACACCACAAAATATCAAACAAATCTCTATTCCAAATCAAGATATCAAGTAATTTTACACTAGATGGTCTGTGTAATAATTATTCAGTGGTTTATACTGTTTAATTTATTTCTATTAAATATATAACTAGAAACTCCAACCAGATAACTAATCTTGTGAAATACTACTATTATTTAGTTTGACCTATGATGATTTGATGATGAAAAGAGAATTTAAGTTTTATTAATAACAAATAGTAGTATATTTTGTGGCAACATTTCGAATTTATATTTCATATCTTAATCTGAAGTTAATTTTTACAGGAAAAAAAATCATTATTTCTGCGTATTTGTCAATATCGAAACTGTCCTCAAACAATAGAGTTGTACAGAACATGAAAGAAAACGGTAATTCAGTTTAAATTAAATAATACAACATTAGTAAGTCAATGTATCAAGATTTATTCAGAGTAAAACGTAAATAAATACACTTTGATATTGTAGAATAATAGTTTATATACACTTGTTAAGTCACTATTATTTGTATAAATTAGTAATGAGTAATCATATGGAATTAAAAAAATAGTTTATTAAGTTAAAAACAGATTCCGTAGTTATTTACTGTTAAGTTCAAATGTTTTCATTTCTTCTTATCAGTTAAACCGTCGATATCATTTATCGCTAAATTATATATTTGTTCATACAGATCAAAAAATGAAATGAAAGAGGAACTGTGCTAGAACATTCAAGGATAACGACTAAGTATAATAATCAATAATTTAAGCGGTCAGTGTTTTTAGTTCACTAAGAATTTGGGATGAAAAAGCACTTCTTTGACCAACAACAAGAGGTTACCAACCTAGAAATAGCAAAAAATATATAACATAGTGATTGATAATTAAGCAGTAACTAGGTCGCTATTTGTTTGATCTTTAATGTTGATCCAATTATATCAGTCAAAATAACTCAGTGATAATGCTTCTGACTGTGACAATGAGTGATTAAAGTTCGAATCCCTATATGAAACACGAATTTCATAAATATTAAAGATACATCTTGTAAACAAGTGTCAACTGGTATGAAATCTAGATCTGTGGCTTCCTGATGGTTATTTCCAACCACTTAACATCAAGAAATGAATATGTTAAAATATGATTCTAATCAAAAGATTACCTGTTTTCTAAAAAGGTTTTCACATTTTTAGTTAATATACCATTAAGACAGTAGAACATTAGTTATTACTTCAATTCAAATCCTCAGTTACAGTTGATTTCGACATAAGCAATAATCATGTCATAAATAAACCGACAATTAATCAATATCAAATGGGATTTTGTGGATATTATAGTAGTTGAGTATATGAGTCAATCCATGGATTGGTTGAACTTTAACATTAACACTGTTAGATGCCGAATCGGTGTTGCAGAGGTTAAGCGCTCACACGCGAGATCAATAGGTCCTGGGTTCGAATCCGGATCGTGGACGCGCACTGCTGAGGAATCCCATAGTAGGACGAAACGGCCGTCCAGTGTTTCCAGGTTGTCCTAAATGGTCTAGATCTAATTGAATCATGAACTCAACTATTAAATTAATCATTATTTATTTTTTTTACAAACCTATAAAAATATTGAAACTGATAACAATAATATGTAAAACAATGTAAAACAAATGTTAATTTACTTGATATATTATTAACATTGATATTAGTATTCATTGTTGAATTTTGATACAAAGTGTTAATTTGTTCCGTGTGATTATCATTTATCATTTGTGTATTGTTTAAAGTTAGATTATTGTGTTGTACAATCTGATTGCCTAAAATAGCATCAATAGTAAATCCGTTCATTTGTGTTTTATATCCGGTAACAATTATGAATTATATAGTCAATGATTTGCATTTATCAAGTGTACAGATGTTGTTTCTTTTTTTTTCTTTTTGTGGTATTAACTAAAAGGTTTCACTCATTGTCATATTTGACGCCAATGATAAAAATTTTTTTTGTTTTTAATGAAATATATTTTTATATACCGTAGAAATTTAATTGGTTAATTTTTTCCGTAAAATTAATGATACACGGATTAATTGGTTAAATAAAAAAATTTTTTTTCTTATTGGTTAATATGTGACCATTTAATATAAATTAGTTTTTCTTCCCTAATCAACAATGGATATTCTATGTATAATTTCATTTGGTGATAAAATGAATCACTGATTGGGATAAGAAAATAAGATTGATCAATTTTTGAAGTTATTATATAAATAAGAATAATTTTTCTGGTGCGCGGATCGGTAAAGCAAGAGCAGCATATTTACAACTGAAGAATATCTGGAACTCAAATTAACTGTCAACCAACAACAAAGTCAGAAATTTCAATAAAAATGTTAAGATAGTTCTAATGTATGGGGTGGAAACTTGGAGAGCTACCAAGCTTATCTTTCAGAAGATACAAGTGTTTATTAACAGTTGTTTACGCAAAATACTTCAGATCCATTGGCCGGACACTATTAGCGACAACGCACTGTGGGAGAGAACAAACCAGATTCCATTGGAGGAAGAAATCAGCAAGAAGTGCTGGAAGTGGATAGGACACATTGAAGAAAGCACCCGATTGTATCATAAGGCAAGCCCTCACATGGAATCCTCAAGGACAAAGAAGAAGAGGTAGACCAAAGAACACATTACGCCGAGAAATGGAGACAGACATGAGAAAAATTAACAAAATTGGACAGAACTTGAAAGGAAGGCCCAGAGCAGAGTGGGTTGGAGGATGCTGGTCGGTAGCCTATCCTCCATTAGGAGTAACAGGCGTAAGTAAGTATATAAATACGCAGAAATGATTAATGGTTAGCAGTAAAATCCAGGACGCGAATTTCGTTCTATTTAGAAGTAGTCAGCTGGATGTACCTGTATCCCAGAGTTGATGTTCACCCTGGAACTCGAACTCAATACCGTTCGCTTCAAGCGTATCGCGTTATCTATTTAACTACTAAGACATGATAGTCACTTGCTTGTGAAATGAGATGAAGTTTAAATTCACTTCATATTGTTTACTTGAATCTTCCCATTGTCTTTGCTTAGAATGCTTGTGAATTAAGGCAATATCGAGACGATGAGCACAGTATGAACATATGTTAATAAGAGACTGATCAATTGCAACCCTAAACATTAATGGGAAATTTAAGGTAAACAATCATTATATAATTAGCTTGTATTCGCTAAAATATTAAATGGATTCAGTCCTTCGTCTTCTATTATTCACATGCACTAATATCTTTCATATAATAAAATAACAAACTTCATATTTTCCCTCATAAACTAGACTACATTTATACAACCACTTGTATTCGTGAGCAAGTGAGAATATATAGATGGGTAGAATATTGCATGATTGAAAAAATACTGTTTAGAAAAAGATTTAAACAATAAAATTGTAAAAGTAACAAAAAGAATCTGAACACTTTTGAAAAAGAAAAACTATGCAAAGCAAACAAACTGTAATGAATAAGATACAAGTTAGGCTGAATAAACTTTGTTCACATTTAATGGTCAAGGTATTCTACTTTACAGTTTATTTAAGAAAAGAATTAGGGTCAAGGAAGAATTAAAGTTTGGATGTATCATCTTTGTACATAGAGTTCCGGTTTGAATTGATGGATCGCCAATGCCTCAATAGTGCATAAGTTTTTAATTCAGAATAGTGTATTAAAATGAAATGATAACCAAATGACTTTTATTTACTCATTACTATTTCTATCAATATAATTATAATTGAAAGATATAGAGATGGATAGAAATAGGATTAAGGATTTCTTCGATTCTTACTATTTATCTTATCAAATCTATTTGTTAATGCTTATTTGTGTGTATGAGTGTTAATGCACATAACTATTTCAAGAAATGATAGGAGTCGAATATGTTTTTGATGCACTTTAGATTTGAACTTGACAACTACTAATACAATAATATTATTCTTATTCTTAATATCATTACAAAGGATAATAAAAATAATGACATTGATTGATTAATTCCAGACCTTAACAACAGTGGGAAGTTAGAAAAGACCAATAAACTTCACGACATTGCACAAACTAGTGGCGATCTGAACTCAGCTGTTTAGTCGATAACGCAATTGTGTTTAAAGCAAACGGCGCTAGGTTCGAATCCCAGAGTGAACATCAAATATGCGATACAGGTACATCGAACTGACTGGTCCTAAATAAGGCTAAATGAGTTTTTTTTTATTCAACTGCTAGACTTTATTCATCTCTGCTTAAAAACATCCTTATGATACATCTTTATAACAGTTTAATGATTTAAAAAGTATTTTTATTATGGACTGATATCGTCTGGAATAATACAGAAAATCAAGAAACACTGAACAGCTATTTGCTTTAATTCAAAACCCTTCGTGAATTAACACCGTCTATTCCAGACAAAACTTATCCAGAAACTTATGTCTTAGTTATTGTTCAACCTGTGAATCGAAATTTATTGATCAGAACGTTTTTTTCATAAATCTAGCCAGTTTGTTGTTACAATCGATCTCACAATTATGAGGATTCATCAAGAGCGAATATTCGCCTAAACAAATATAGTAAGTAATACAAAATAAGTTGATGCAGGAACCGCTTTATTCTTGTATTTGGTAATAATTTATGGCATTGTTTATCGAGTTCCCGATGTAAAATATTTAAAACAGGTGAAATATCAATTCCTAAGTTCATACAAAGTGAAATTATGTTATACTGGTAAACAAGTTTTAAGCATCACACCATACTTATTCAAGTATTTTGTTGGTCATCACGTTACGTTCTATACAAAATTAATCTTAAATTCTCAAATTTGGGGATGTGTGGAGATTGTAGCGCCTTCGTGGTTGAATTTACGAGTCAATCTAGGTTGGACCACCATTTGAAACCTGGAAGCACTGGACGGCAGTTTCGTCCTAATATAGAGGGTTGCGCAAGATCATCAACCGATCAAAGTTAGACATTAACACCGTTGGATGTTGGCTCAATGGTCCATAGTTTGTGAGCGAGATCAGAGGTTCTGGGCTCGAATCCTAAGTGCGAGTTCGTGGATCCACACTGTTGAGAAGTCCCATACTGGAACGAAACGGCTATATGGTGATTCGAGGTTTCCAATGGTGGTCTAACCTAGATTGATTCGTAAATTCAACTTTGAAAATTTTAAGCTCATCCTATTGTTAGCTGTCATCGAACATGTGTATGGTATAAATTGATTTAATTTGTTTTCAGTGACTGATTTTTAAATTATCAAAAATACATTACACATCATACTTCCGTATAATTCTTTATGTGATCCACTATACGCTTTAGGACTGAAATGGCAGAGCAGAACATTAAGCTTTCATTGGTCATAGATTGTTACGGTAATGCTGCTTTATGTTTTTCCATCATTGTGATGTTTGTTAGTACTGAGGTTTGGGAAGAATAATTATTACTGGATTACTTATTAGAAAAATTCAATCGCGCGAATATCGGCCTGATTTATTGCATACTTGACAAATGTGGTACCTATTTCACGGATTTTTTTATACAGTTAATATTTTATTGAAACTAAGAATTTTGTTTAAAATGACTTCTAATATTAGCATACATATGCGGATCAGGTAATTGTCAAGTATTGTTCGAACTATAAAATCACCTCTATAGATATATACTGTTTTATCAATGAGAATCAAATTTATTTAGAGCGAATGCTCATTATGTGAATATACAATATCTGAAATATTGGCGTAAGATTAGACGCTGAGTTTAAGATTTCGCTATCTGGCTGAATGTTTGTTGATATCTTTCCGTATCCTTATGCTAGAAATTTCAAATAAGTTATCAAAAATAACTGTTAAGTGAACCTAATTTCATAAAGCGTTACTTTTGATGTACTGGTTAAATAAGACTATAATTTTAATTAAAATTAAAATAATACAAATTCTCTCAAAGTATTTTTCGCATGAGATTTACTTTCGAATTCACTTGATCTTATAACGAAAGAAGCCCATTGTACCACTGAAGAAGATAAAAGGCAATTCAGCGAAAAAATTTTTTCATCTGATCTTATTGTCCCTATTTTCAAATGGAATCTCACCATCACAATTTTTACACTGCTTCCCCTACCCTAGTAAATTCGACTAAAACATTATAAGAAATTATATTACTGGATTTGTACTCTTCATGACCCTTTCTTTTTGACTGACTGGCTCCCAATTGGTCATATTTTGTATATTTCCGAAGACGATAATAGATTTCATTAATCCAAGTATTTAGACTAGTTACAAGCTGACAATTATTCAATACGTGTTCATATGTATATTGTACAAAATCTAATACTACGATTAAGTCCTAGTGTAGTGAAAGAGAACACAGGTGAGGACAACCGAATTATATTTAGAACAAAATTACAGAGTTACTTGGTAAAATAGAAAAACCATACTATAATACTTAATTTGCAAAATGTTCAATAATTGTCTCGAACTTCGTTGTTCTTGCAATTCCATACTAATTACTTTCTATTCCTGCTCTTCCTTTCTTGATCTTCCCCATCTTCTGCTGCCATACATTACATTCCTGACTCGCGTCATATACCACTTACACCAATATGAGTAGTACGCATCACACTAGTATAGCGTTGTTGCATTAATGTTATTTTTGAAGTATTAGGATCACTTTTTTATTAAGTGCTTTCACTGGATTTTGTTTATTCTATTCATATTTGTCAGTCAGAAGAGAAAATTTATTTGCGTTAATTTCCCACTTTCTTTATGTCCTATAATGTTTCCAGTTTAACTGAGAAGTGTTATAGAAATTGTATATGTAACTACTAT